ATAACAATCATCTACATAAATTCAAATAAACGAATAAGTCTTATAAAACACTTTATTGATTTATAATCGATCATAACATTAAATATAGAATATATTAAACGATATATTTATAAAGAAGTATTAAACGAAACATTAAGAACAAATAACATATACTTATTAAAATATTTACTAATAATGAACTATTTTTTATAAAATATAGAAGAGAAATATATTAATGAGGAACATATATCACTGATTTTCTTCAAAAAAATTAATTAATTTATCAAGTACTCGTTGATCTTGAGTTACTCTTGGCTTTTTATCCCTCCCAGGATTTTTAACGAATTATATTAATTCTTCTGCTTCGTTATTTTCATATGTAGTTATTAAGTCTTTATATTCGAGCAGATATGTAGGGGGGTTCTGGCGTATCCTACCTTACTGACAGTGCCGGTAATTTACCACCCAAGCCGGCAACTTACCGACTGTGGGCGTAGTTGCCGATTTTCCTGCTAGATGGCGCTGTACCGATTTGCAGTCGGTAATTGTTACCGATCTAGGCCGCGCTGCTGTTGTGGCGGGAAAATAATTCAAATTAAAATTTTTGAAAATTCTAAATTTGAATTTTGAAAAATTTTGTTGGTAATTTTTACCAATCTAGTGTCGGTAACTGTTATCGATCTTCTCCACCAGGTTGCGCTGTTGTAATGACGCGCGAAATGTGAATTTTAAAAAGTTCAAAATTTTTATGATGCTAATGTTTAATTTAAATATTCTAAAAGTATATTTTACTTAACTTATATATTTTTATTCTATTATTGAATTATTCTTGATACTTTTAATTTTTAGTAAATTAATTTAATGCATAAACCTTACTTTACAGGAAAGGTTGAGTTGTGAAAATTAGATTTTTTATTGCAATTAAACAAATTTTATTACATAATTGACAAAAACATATAATAAAATGAATTTTTTTACATTAATTCCTTCAAAATATCCACTTCCTGCCTATTCAGTGTCGTGTATTATGGGATCCTGATGGGTGTTGACTTCATTTGTTTCAATAAATTTGAAATTATTCCAATTTCCACCAATGTATTGAAGTGATAAGTTATTTTTCTTTATAAAGTCGATCAAGGTGTTATATCCAGTGTCGTCTTGTAATGCTTCAGTTGATCTTTTTGGCAGAAAAACTATGAAGTCGTCATCCAGTGTGGCAATGACTGCGTCACCATGTCTTGATTTCACTCTTTTCAATCCTGTCACTTGATATTTTCGTGTAGTTCCTAATTCTGACATTTTTTTCTTCGGTTTTGAGTATTATTCGCAATACTGTTGATGTAATCGATTTTTGTATTTTATTTCACTCAACAATGTATTAAACTTGACAACGTAATTATTACTTTATTTTCTCTCAATAGTGCACAGCTAAGTGTGGATTCGATGATTTTTGTAGCAGAACTGATTTCAAAATGTCTCGTCTGTTTAATATAATCTACACTCTATCGGTAAATCTTCGGTTCTTAGAAAGTTTAACCGTTATATTCAGTTTGTTCTGACTTCGAGTCGGCCGGACGAGCAAACAAAAAACTAGTGAACTGTAATAATTAAGAGCAGAATAACGAAACAGGTTGGATGCTAGAAGGTTGCTTAAAACGAAATAGTTTATTAACACCAAAACTGTATGGTTTTTTTCACTTTTATTAACAATTAACAATAAATAGTACGAGAGAGAGAACTAATCACTAAGGTTCATTGAGTTGTCCGTAATTCAACTATTTTTTCACTTGAAGATTGTTTGCTAGTTAATGTTTCACCAAAAAAAACCGTCTCAAAACAGTGAATAGCAACATTCACGGTATACACCAGAGTTGTTCGGGTGTGCGATGTATATGTGAATGTCCGTGAGGCTCTATGGCGTCGACGCCAGTTCAGCTTCGCGCCCAAAGACACTACAACTGACTTTACTGGACCACTGGCACTGATGAGAGTAATTATGATGATTCACTTTTGTTCGTGAGAGTTGTCTGAGTCTACTTGACTGTATTTGGTACTACCAAAGGTGAGCTGACTGCACAAAACCGCGATTTGACTGCGACAAATTACACAGAGATGACCGCGTGATTTGCCTGGAGCTAACTGACGCCACAAGTGCTCGACCGCATGCTTGTTGGCGTCACTAGGGCCGTAGAGTTGCCTTCTGGGCCATGAGGGAAATACTTCCCGATGATTGGTCCAGTGAGTTGACTGACGCGCCGGTGGACAAGTCCGGCATTGACAATTTTCAAATATTCTGAGACTTGCTGACTTGGGGCCCTCCAAGTCAGAACACAGTTCTTAGAATTTCTTTTGTTAGTTTCATAAGAACGGCGTCTATGTCAATGACATCATATATTTTTCGTATGACGTACATTTCCATGTAAGTGACGTCATAAAAACTTTTTCCCGCCGTATATGACGTTTTATTTTTAATATAATAAGCGAAGTATTCACATTGATTTTAATATCGTGCAGTGAAAAAGAAACAATAAATCGATTACATAAATAACATTGCAAATATAACTAAAAACCTGTAAAGAAATTGGCTGACTTACAAGTAGAGCATAGATACAGAGTGACTGGTCTGAAAAGAGTTAATACAAATCATGGTGATGCATTAACTGCAACAATCGACGACAAGTTCTTTGTTCATTTACCATCAAGATTGTCAAATGCTTTGAGAGAAGATAATATTACTTTCAACAATTTACTTGATTACGTCAAAGAAGATAATTTGGAACTCATATTCTTCGGTGGCAAATGGAATAGCTGCAAATTTGAACCTCGAGGGAAAGAAATTGATCAGGAGAAAGGAGAAAAAGAAGGTAATTTATCCATTAATTAATAATCAAGTAAAAAATAACAGATAGAAAAAAATCTATTGAATTTTCGAGACAATTATTTTCATGGAAATGACGTCATTAACTTTTCTCCCACTTTTTTTGGTAGAAGGGGTGAAAAACGGTAGTGGGGAGCTCAAAAGCATCAGAGCCATTGAGGGACTCTTTTCTCAGTTCAAAATTAGTCTTGCAGAGAGAACGAGTGATCACCATGGATCTCGTTATTGATATAAAAGGCTATCGTTTTTCTAACGGAAAAGTGATTGTGAAAGAGTTGGCTTCATGTAAATGGCTAGGATTGGAAGAAATTTGTGAATATCATTTTTTATTTAAACCACCATGTGATTACAGTGAATTATCTATTGATGAAGAATGGGACGTTGATGTTGGTAAAAAATATTATCATGGACTTTCATGGGAAATTGGTGATACACCATATGAAACACTGGACAAGTACTTCAAAGAGACATTGAACAACGTACGTTATATTTTTGTACGAGATTATGAAGTGCAATATTTCCTGGAATCATTGATAAAAACAGATATTCCGATTATTAACTTGGAAAGAGAGAATTTTGCAATTTATGATGTTACTGGATTCATGTGTCCACATCGTGGCCAACACAACAAAGGAATAGTGAATAAAGGAATAAATATAGCACTTCCACGTCTATACTTCCATCGATACAAATGTGCACTTACAAATATAAAGAAACTGAACCAATGGGTTTTTGAGAATATTTCGATTCTTGATGATGATATCAGACCAATCAGAATTTATCGAGTAACCAAAAATTTACTTAAGTTGAATCCAACAGATTTAAAACTTTTAACGAAAGAATTCATCATTGAAGAGGCTGCAAATAATATTGACACTGCATGGGAAAAACTGCCTAATGAATGGAAATCAGATGAGGATTTAAAATGTATCGACGATGTTACAATCATTATCCACCAAAAGACGACCAAAATGATGGCTCTATACCATTTGTTAAGGATTGTAAAATGTGTAATGAAGAATAAAATGTTTTGTAAAATGTGTTATAAAAATAAAAACAATTTTTTCTTACATAATTTATTTTGTTTTATTTATACAATCAATTTTTCTCAATAATACAGGATTAATTATAATATTAGCTGCTTCTTCCCAACATCCTTGTCTGGCTGCTCTGTAAACATAAGTCCATGCATGCATTATGTGTATTTTCGGTTGAAGATTAAATTGAACAGATTTTTGTTCCATTATAATAATTTTCTTAATTGTCCACTCAAAGGTTTGTATTCAACAATTCGATCATGAATGATTAAACAATATGCTGATGTATTATCGGGTATCGGTTTTGTAGATTCAAATTCGATTCGCACATCGACAGGTCCAGATTTTAATGATTCATTTTGTTTTGAACAATCGATGACAATTAAAGGTGCTTTTCCGATAAATTGTTCTTTTGTGAGAAGAGGTTCTGGATCTTTACCATAATATGATTCTTGGAAATTTTTGTACATATCATATAATAATGCATATTGATTGTGAGCTATGTCAAGATTCAAGTTGCCATATGGATAACATTGTGAATTGAGAAAAAGTTCTACGTCTCTCAAATTACAATGATCGAATTGACTGGAATCTTTTCTTACATCATTTTTTCGTGCTGTTTGAAATGCCAATATAACATATCTCGGTTTCTCCAATTGTGTTGATGTTTTCACCATCCAGACGTTTTTCGTTGTTCTCGGTAACAATGGATATTCATAAGTTTCCCATGATCGAAAACTCACTGTTATCGGCGGATCCTTGGCAATATAATTTAATAATTGTATTTTTCTTGGATCCGATACTGTGATGTAAGGAATCATCCATTCAATTTTCGTCAATGTAATTTTTTCATCTGTACTAGCTGCAGCTTGTACTATTGCATTTAGATCGGTGTTTGAACGTGTTAAAACAAGTTCATGCCTAGCATTGACAATAATGCGATGATAATCTTCAGCAAATCCCAATAACATATTCAATGGCAACAAAATGTCAAAGTATCCTTTATTATCCATAAGCTTTTCATCATTGACAATCCAATCTGTATTATCTAAATAATTTAATTGACTTGGATGAAGTGATTTGGTTGAACGCCAAATGAACTATTTATGCCATCAAGTGACATAGAAGGAATTATAGTGGAGAAAGTCATTGATGTTTTATTAGCACAAGTTGAAGAGCGAGATTCAGGATGGTCCATGGTGGAAATCATTCATCTCCAAGTCAATATTAATAGATATGATCCATTAGTAGCAGGCGAATCAACTTGGATTGCTCTACCACAGTTCATTCAAAATAAAAAAGCAGTGCTAAATATCAAGAATAATGATCAATGTTGCTTTTTTTGGGCAGCTACAGCAGCACTATTTCCAGCTGAAAATAACATAAACAGCACATCATCATATCCAGATTTTAGGACGATTTTCAAGTATCAAGGTATTAATTTTCCAACAACCTTATATGATATTCCAACGTTTGAACTAGATAATAATCTTTCAATTAATGTTTATGGATTAAAGAATAAGGATAAAATAGTTCCATCATACTTAAGTAAATTTCCTTGCGAAAATCGAATACATTTATTGATGGTAGAAAGTAATGTTAAAGTTGATAATAATAATAATATAAAACCTATCTATCATTTTTGTTTAATTAAAGATCTCTCCAGATTGGTTAGTTCTCAAATTTCTAATGGTAAAACAAAAAAATTTCTGTGTAATAGATGTTTGTGTCATTTTAAATTTCAACAATCATTCGATAATCATCGGGAAGATTGCATTAAAATGAATAAGACTGCTATTACCTTCCCTGAAAATGATGAAAAAATTAAGTTCAAAAATCATAAAAATAAGGAACAAGTTCCATTTGTTGTTTATGCTGATCTGGAATGCATTCTTGAACCGGACGATACGAAACAAAAACATATTCCATGCAGTGTTGCTTTCTATGCTCATTGCTCATTTGATAAATCTAAATCTTATTTTTCATTGAAACGCGATGTAGATTGCATTGATTGGTTCATTGGAGAATTAAAAAAATTATCAGAACATGTAAAAGACACTATTAAACATGTTGTGCCAATGAAACCATTAACTTTCCAGCAGCAGAAAGCTCATAATGATGCTAAAAAATGTCATATTTGTAATCAAAATTTTTTAAATGAAGAAATTAAAGTTCGAGATCATTGCCATTTCACAGGTGCTTATCGTGGTCCTGCACATAACAGATGTAATTTAAATTATCAATCTTCTCACATCATTCCTGTTGTTTTTCACAATCTTTCTGGATATGATTCTCATTTTTTAATTAAATCTTTGGTATCAACATCATTTGAAGGTAAAGTCGAATTATTACCAATCAATAAAGAAAAATATATAGCTTTCACCAAAACAGTTGGTAAGAAAGAAAAAAAATTTCGTAGAAATAATAGAAAAAGAACTTGTGAAATAGTCATTAAATTGCAATTCATAGATTCATTTAGATTCATGGCTAGCAGTATTGATCAATTAGCATCTTTTTTAGATAATGATAAAAAAAATATCACTAAAAGATTTTACAATGATCTGGAAAAATTTAAATTGGTAGTGAGAAAAGGTGTTTTCCCCTATGAATATATAGATGACTGGGATAAACTTAATGAAACTCAGCTTCCTGCTCAATCAGCTTTTTACTCAAAGTTGAATAATGCAAACATTTCAGATGAAGATTGTCAACATGCACTCACTGTATGGAATAAGTTTCAACTTTAGACTTTAGGTGATTATTCAGATTTATATTTGAAGACTGATGTTTTACTATTAGCAGATATCTTTGAAAATTTTCGTGAGAATTGTCTAGCTGCTTATAACCTTGATCCATTACATTATTTAACTGCACCAGGTCTAGCTTTCGATGCTATGTTAAAATACACAGAAATAGAACTTGATCCTTTACAAGATGTTGAAATGTTGAATTTTATTGAGAAAGGTATAAGAGGAGGTGTATCTCAATGTAGTAATAGATATGCTAAAGCTAATAATCATTACATGGGAGATAAATATGATCAAAACAAAGATGAATCACATCTGATGTATTTTGATGTGAATAATCTTTATGGTGCTGCAATGAGTGAATATTTACCCACTGGTTCATTCGAGTGGGTTACTGATAATTTTGATTTGAATAACAATATTGAGAATTTAATTTTAAATATTCCTAAAAATTCTTCTACTGGCTATATTTTTGAAGTAGATTTAGATTATCCACAATCATTAAATGAACACCATAAAGATTTACCAGTATGCCCTGAACATTGGCAACCACCAGATAGCAAATGTGAAAAGCTGATGACAACGTTATTGCTAAAGAATGAATATGTAATACACTATAGAAATTTACAGCAATGTATTGAACTTGGTTTGAAAATCACTAAAATTCATAGAGTTTTACAGTTTAAACAGTCAGCTTGGTTGAAAAAATATATTGATTTGAACACAGAGATGAGAAAAAAGTCCAAAAATGATTTCGAGAAAAACTTTTTTAAACTTATGAATAACGCTGTTTACGGAAAAACTATGGAAAATGTGCGTAATTATAAAGATATAAAATTAATTACAAAATGGGAGGGAAGATGGGGTGCACAAAGTCTAATATCACAACCGAATTTCCATAGCAGTGTCATTTTTGATGATGATATGGTTATTATTAAAATGAATCAACTTGAAATAAAGTTTAATAAACCAATTTACGTAGGTTTTGCAATTCTCGATTTATCAAAGATTTTTATTTATGATTTTCATTATAATTATATTAAGAAAATATTTAAAAATAATTTTAAATTGCTATATACTGATACAGATAGTTTAGTTTATCATTTCATGAATGTTAACATATATGACTATATAAAACATGATATTCATATGTATGATACCTCTGATTATCCAGAAAATAATGTATATGGTATTCCTAGGAAGAATAAGAAGGTACTAGGTTTAATGAAAGATGAGAATAAAAGGATAATTATGACTGAATTTGTTGGTCTTAGAGCTAAAATGTATAGTTATACTATTTTAATTGAAGAAAAAGATAAAAATAAAGATAAAGCTAATGTTGTTAAAAAAGCTAAAGGTGTGAAGCAGGCTACAGTTACAGCTATCACATTTGATGACTACAAAAAATGCCTGTCTGATTATACAATTTTAAACAAAATTGAATATCACATTGTCAGTAAAAAACATGAAGTATGTACTGTTCCTAGATCAAAAAAAGCTTTGAGTTGGCAAGACAATTAAAGACAATTATTAGAGGGAACTACTGATACTGTACCATGGGGCTATAAAAAAAGTAATACAAATTCGTAATTTTTATATGTTTTCTTTTATTCTTCTTCTCAATTTTTATATCTTTTAGCTTTCTGTAAACAGTATCAAATAATTGCTTCTCATCGGCTGAAGTTACATCCACAGGTTTCATCTTAATTGTACGATGTTTAGTATTGTTATATGATGATAATAGTTTCGGTAGCAAATCAATCCACTTATAATTTCCAATATGAGTGAATTCTTTCCACATTTTGTTTTTTAAAGTTCGATTAAATCTTTCACAAATTGATGCTTTGAGATTGCTGAATGTTGAGTACATTTTAATGTTATACTGTTTCATAAGTCCTTCAGAATCCTTATTATAAAACTCTTTGCCTCTATCAACGTGTAAATGTTTGGGAACTCTTTTTTCTTTTAAAATAGTCATCATTGCAGCAGTGACATCTCTACTATTTTTAGTCTTAATTGGTATAGCCCAAGCATTTTTAGAGAAAATATCAATAACTGTTAATAAATGTTGATATCCTTTATTGTAGGATTTATATGTAGTCATATCAACAAGATCCGCTTGCCAAGTCTCCTCAAGACCACGTATATCCACATGTCTGACCCGGAGTACTTTCATATTTTTTATTACCAATGTAAACAAATTTATCATCAAATCTCGCTTCAGAGTTACCAATCATCAGTTCATTTTTTAATTTTCTGATACCAAACTTTGTATCCAATTTCTTTACTTGATGTTTTGAATTGAATTTCTTCAAATATGATACTGCAGGTAACTCTTTTATCGGTGTACTTTGATGAGGAGCAGTGGTAAAAGATTTATCATCAGTTATTGCACTATTATCCACATCATAATCAACAGTATTATCATGTGTTGTTTGAAAGCTTATAGCGTCTTCTATAGGAACTTTTTTGATTAGCTCTTCTTTTTCCACATCAAATTTCTCCATTTTCATCGGTGTCTTATCCACTAATTGTTGCAGAGGAGCTACCACGGGTTTAAACATTTCGTTCATAGCTCGTTGAGTTGTTTCTCGTCCGTGTTTTATAATTTCATGCTTACGTCGTATTGCATCACTCGCTTTTGCAATTTGATGCAGAACATCAGCTTGTTTTTGCATTTTTCTTATCTTCATACTACCACTTTGATGACTGCGTCACAAATGTTCTTTTTCTCTTATTGTTGTACAATTTATATATTAATGAAGCAATCGAATCCTTTTCTATAACGTCCACAATCGATTTCTCTGTCTTCGTCGATAACGACGAATCCATACTTATCATTCCAACATTTGGAACAAAGTTCTCGAAAATCAGGAAATGACATATCAGTGTTTACATGATCATCATAAATATGCTTTAAATTAATATCATCTTGTCGGAAAAGCACGAAAAAATTTGTATTATCTCGCACTAGATGTTTGGGAATACGTGCATAAGTTTGACAGAGATAAAAGCTATCAACATCTCTGTGTCGTCCTATACAAAAATAAGCACGCATATTATCTTGTTTCTCACACGCTACGTCATCAAAAATCATGATTGAATTTGGTTTTGCTTGCTCTGGTTTCACAACTTCTTTATGTTCATTACAAGGAAAATAACCCATACCTTCTACAGGTTCAAGTAATTTTTCCAAAAATTTATATTTTGGTTGATGTATGGATTTGGAATATAAATATATATTTTCAAATCGTAATCCATTTGGGTGTATAACAAGAGCTAAGAAAGCATTTGTTTTACCGCAATTCGAGGGGCCACATATCACGCCGCGAACGCTACTCGGTAATAAATTACCATGACGTTGAATTTTTACAGTTTGTGGCACGACGTTGTCGAAATTCGACACCGGTAATTAAGTTCTGTGTTGCTCGAACTTCATCTCGATGTCAACTGAAAAGCTAGAGTATAAATGCGCTACTTTTATAGAAATTATTTCAGTATGGCTCGGGTTATGACACAGTACAGACGTGGCGCCGGTTTAGTTAACACTATCATAAATAAATTGCCATTCGAGTTACATATTCCTGGATATCAGTATTGTGGACCCGGAACAAAATTACAAAAACGATTAGAACGTGGTGATCATGGTGTAAATCCATTGGACGCAGCGTGTAAAGAGCACGATATTGCGTATTCGAAAAATCGAGAAAACGTAGAAGCGAGAAACGTAGCAGATAAAGTGCTTGCTGAAAAAGCTTGGCAAAGAGTTTTTGCTAAAGACGCAAATTTAAGTGAAAGAGCTGCTGCATTAGGAGTTACTAATATCATGAAAGTTAAATCAAAACTCGGAATGGGTTTGAAGAAAAGAGTGGGAAAGAAAAAAGTTGGGAAGGTTTAAAAAAAAAACCTTTAAGACAGATTGTGGATTCGGCCAAGTTGATGATGAATTCTGGTGCAGATCCCATAAAATGTGCATTATCAGCTGCACGAAAAGCAGTAAAAACGATTGGTGGGAAAAAGAATGTTCGAGTTCCTCGTGTATTACCTGTACCGACTAAGGTTGGAGGTATTTTACCACTTATACCGATATTCGCCGGTCTAAGTGCAATTGGTGCTTTAGCTGGTGGAGCTTCAGGTATTGCAAAGGCAGTTAATGATGCTAAAGCTGCTCATCGTCAATTAGGTGAAGCAAAACGTCACAATCAAAAAATGGAAGCCATAGCCTTGGGTAGAGGTCTACGTTTTAAACGTCGAAAACGAGGATATGGCCTATATTTGAAACCAGCGAAAAAAAACGTATAGAGCTACCACATCGAGCATTAACTAACATCGACATTTTGAGGTATGCAAAAATTATAAAAATTCCATACTTTCGTGGAGTTTTCATGAGAAATGATTTACCGAAATCTAAACCATGGAAAAATGAGTCAGCTATTATTAACCTTGATGATAAAGATGGACCTGGAACTCACTGGGTGGCATATAAAAAACGAGGAAATAAAGCAATATACTTTGATAGTTTCGGTAATTTAAAACCTCCACCTGAACTTCAAAAATATCTCGATGTTAGTAGCTTATTATATAATCATACAAAGCAACAAGATTATTCAACAACAAATTGTGGACATCTATGTTTAAAGTTTCTCAGAGAAAAAGTTGCAGACATCTGAGGACTTGGTATTGAATTTAATCTCAAAAGCTATATAAAAAGTGAAGATGAATAAAAAGTTCTTCAGTCATGGACGATTCGTTCACAATAACGCTGTCTGGACAGTCCTCTATATCAGAGGTAGGGACTCCGGATCAACTCTGTGAGATCGATTTTCAAGATCGATTCAAATCGACACCATCAAATCGATCTTTAAAAAAAATCAAGCCATAAAGATCGATTCTAAAAGAAATCGATCTTCAAAAATCAAAAAAATTTTTTTTAAATTCAAATTGTAAGACAAATAATTATTCTTTATAATTTTCGATTAATAATCAATGAAAATTTATTAATTAGAACATTTTATTTATGAAAACTATTATAAAAGTTTTTATTAACAATATATTTTCCATATTTATTTTTCTTTTAATTATAATATTATTATAATGATATAATATATAGGTAAACTACATTTAGTGACTATTTTTCAGTCTTGAGTAGTATTTATCCCAATCACAAGTATCTTTTGTAATTAAACAAATTAAAATAAAATAAAATGTACGTTTTTTTTTTAAAAAACCAAAATTCTTTACAGCATCCAGTCTGAAAGATCCAAAGATTTTAAAAATAATAAATTAGACAAGTGTTCACCAGTAAGTCTATTGCGGATCCTTGTCTGCACATTTCCAGCCATGGAAAATAGTCGTTCACATGGGGCTGAAGTGGCTACAATTGATAAATATTTAAGAGCTATCTGAGATAGTTCTGGAGTATTCTGTTCATGAGCCCAATATTGAATAGGATCAGTATTTAGAGGTTGAATTTTCTGACTAATGTAATTCTTCAAACAATTACTGAGTCCAAATGAACCAAATCTGTTTTCACTGTCATGATTATGATTATTGACAAGCTCAACATGAAACTTCCATAACTCATGATCTGTGCTCACTTGTTTTGGACCTAAATTCGAATCATCAACTGATTTTTTAAATGTTTTTAATTCTTTATCAACTCTTTCAAATGCTAAAGCAGCATCACCGCAGTTTTTGTTAAAATTTACTCTCTTATAACGTGGGTCAAGAACTGTTGCCACACTATGTATATAACTTTTAGTTATATTCTGAAATCGGATTTCCAGTTGGTCGAGAATATCATTGCGAAGTTGAATAGCGATCGGTGATGTCATATAGGCTGCTTTCAAATTTTTTTCTAAACAACACAAAATTGGAATCACTTTACTGCATGTTGTGTATGTTTGACCACACATTTCTGTTGTTGCTAATTCCATGGGTTTTAAAATAGCTATAATTTCTCGTGAAACTTCAATTTCCGATGCAGACAACATTGGAGGAGATTTTGGAAACTTCAATAACACAGTACTAATAGGCTCAACTATTTCAATGAATCGGCATAACATGAAAAAAGTAGAATTCCATCTTGTTGATACATCCTGAATCGGTCTCAATGGTTGTGATGAAGCTTGTGCTTGTTTCAGAGCATCTGAAGCAACGACAGAGTGTTTAAAATATGTCACGATTGATTTAATTTTCATTAACAATTCATTGAGATGCGCTGATTTGGCTATAGCTGAATGTAGAACTAAATTAAAAGTATGAGCAAAGCAGGCTATATGCTTTTCTTTACCAAACGTATCACAAACAGCTTTAACAATGTTTGGTCCATTGTCCGTCACTATAGCTGAGACTTTATTCAATGAAATATTCCAATTTTCAATAATATTTTTAAATTCACATTGTAAATTTCCACTTGTATGACGATCTTGAAGTTCAGTGATGCCAAGGGTTAGAGATTTTAACCTTGTATTCTCTAAAAAATGAATAGTAATACCCAAAAAACTTGTTGTTGTATTCGTTTCAGTCCATAGATCAGCTGTTAATGTATAGTAGGACGCATTTTCCAATTTCTCCTTAACGATTCTTGAATGAACTTCATATTTACGATCAACACAATCTGTTACTGCTGTATGTAAAGGAGGCTGGTAGTGTGGAGCAACAACATTCATAAAATGTTTGAAGCTATTGTTTTCATAGTTGTATCTATTTTAGGTTGAAAATTACTTGTAGAAGATGTTGAAGCATCAGTAGAAGACGAGTTTTTTTTTGTATAAAGAATTTTTTTATCTTGAGAATTTTTGATGAAAGATCTTATCTTTGGTATATCTTGATGATATCGAATCAAATGATTATTAAGATTCGTAGTATTTGAAGCTTTTACAAGCTTTTCACATATAGCACAAATACCTCCCTCTTTGTGAGCACTAAAATATGACCACACATGACTTTTAGACGGCTTCTTGTTCATTATCACATTTGAGTTAGGTTTCGAGTTATCTCTAATTGAAGTCTCAATAATCTCAACTTTATCAGATGATCTCGGTACATTACTATTTTCTTCGTTCTGCCCAGTTTCCATACAATCACTTGGTTTATCTAGTTCGAAATCACTAATTTCTTCAGATGTTGGCATCACAAATGGAAAATTCTCTAGATCAATAAGTACATAAGTAATGTTGTCTGTAGAATACCAAGCAGCCGTAACATCCTCCCCATTTGTATTTAGTTTTTTCTTTTCGTATATAAGATATTTTAAATATCGAACAGCAAAACCATCACTCCCTGTAAATAAAATTAATTATTAAATATTCGACGATAACAGATAAACAAAGTTATAATTTATGATACTCACCTGATACTCGAACATATACTCGATATTGAATCCCGTCAACTCTAATATTGGGAAGATCATTTATTCGAAAATAGAGCGTATACGTACGTTCTTCCGGCTCCTCTGTAATACACAATAAAAAGTCATGCTCAATAAATAAATATTGAAAGGAAAAACCAGGTTTTAAACACAAAAAACCGTTAATGATTACCAAATCATAAATGTTCATAACTTTTAAGATAGTTTTTGTTTTTAAATTTTACATTCCAGAAATTAGTAATAGTTAATAGATTCACATACCTGCAATTGTTGAAGATAACATTTTTATTATCTTTTATAATAAATTTAATATAAATTTGAAATAAGCAAATGACATGCTCCATTTATGGCTGTATTAGTTATGTGGATTGTTTGCAAAGGCGCTGAACTCTTAAGCCCAAATATGGCCGGAACTCACAATAAGTATGTAGTGACCTCTATCGCAGATTGTCAAAATTTTTCTGTCGGTTAATTATAAAAGAACGAACAAAAAAAGTGTATTGCGAAGATAAATAATAATTAAATAATAATAATAAAATAATAGTTAACATCAATGACAGATAATTTCAAATATTCTACGAAAACAATGAATGTGTATCTGGCAAGTAAGTGGCTTGACATGAATATAATAATAGAGTATACTGTACTAACCTATTCTTTAAGAAATAGTAAAATTTACTAATGTTATTAATTAATTTATTTTTATTTTCAGAGCCAACTTCAGAAATGAAGTTTACTCTATTCTTTTCAGTAAATTTTGAAGATTCTTATTGCATAGAGGGGTTGGATTTTCATAATTATTTAAGAATCACGGGGTAGGTAACATTTAAATAATTCTCTCTAAGAAGTTTAAATATACTATTATTATCACTATATAAATTATAAATAAATTTATAATTAAATAAACTCTTCAATCACAGTTCTACAAGAGAAGCAAGGACTTTACTCGCAGAACTGATGAAAGAAGGGAAAATTCCTCATCCAAGGGACCCTATCGATAAACTTCACATGAGCACTGATGGAATTCACTAGTAAGTATTTACTGAATATTTATATTCTTTCTTTTTTTCATATCTGAAAATAATGAATAATGGTTATTTTTTAGTGAATTGATAAATGAAGATTTAGAATCCGAAGCTGAAATGATACCCTCCTCTCTTTAATGGATAGAAATTTTTTATTCCGAATACGAAATAATAATTGTTATAATAATAATAATAAAAACAATAAATTTATTTTCCAATTTTAATTTTCAAATGTATTTATTTTATTACATTATTTTACCTGGAATTCTTCTTAATTTTACGAAATTGATTTTTATTTTATTTTTTTTTTTTTTTATTGAGTAAATAAGGAGATAGATGGCGCTAGGCTGTATTGCCCATTCCGCCAATTTACAATATTATACAGGTTTTTTAACAAAAATATTTTCTTTATACCTTTATATCTACTTATGATAGTGATATGTAATTACTGAACCACTTCCAATAATATTAGACTATAACATATATTTCCTCTGGCTTTACCCTTTGCTTCAGAAATACTTTAGTTTTTCCTTTTCTTTGGAAATTTTATAAAAATAGAAAATTTTATAAAAATAAAAATATAATAACTTATAAGCTATTTATACTTTCCGTGACACAAAACACAATAACTCTTATACTTAATATTAATTATATATTACAGTCGATACTGTTTAAGAATTTCGCAATCACAAAAATTGCATTTGGTGTCATACTATGCAAAAATGACTCTATACAAAAAGGTGGGAAAAATCCCTGTTTGATAAGCTCTTTAACAAACTGACTTCTTACACACTCAAATCTTTTGCACTGCCATAAAATATGATTAATAGTTTCTCTGGCTTCACCACATTCACATATATCTGAATCATCAATATTAAATCTAATTAGACTTTCTTTAAGAGAGTGATGGCCTGAGCGCATCCTATTAAAAGTTACAAAAGCTTTTCTCTGGAGTCTGATCCTCTGATACCATGGGGTCGCGTCCTCTGAGGCATAATTCTGAAAGTATTTAATACCTTTCTCTCTACCTAAATTTTTACACCATTGACTTGTCTCTACTTTCATTTTTTCCTTCCATCTACTACTGAAGTCAGAGCTAGGTATAGTGAACTGAGAATCGATTCCCTTTACACAGCTCTCTTTTGCGGCGATGTCTACCACTTCGTTGTAGTTAATTCCGCAATGGGCCGGAACCCACCAAAATTGTACTTGTTTCTCTTGTTCTTCTAACAATATAAGTTTTTGCTTAATGAATCCAATAATCGGTGCATGATTTTTAAAATACGATGGCCTACTCAAAGCCTCTAGCACACTTTTAGAGTCTGAGAATATATAGAAACAGTTTCCCTCTTCTTCTTCTATAATCTCTAAGGTCTTTCTAATGGCCATAGCTTCTGCTGTAAAGATCGATGCAAAGAGTTTTGTTCTGCAATAGTAAATTTTCATATCAGTTACACGCACTACAGCAAACCCGACAAACTCAGAGTGAGTTCCCTTGGAGCCATCAGTAAAAAAACATATGCCTTTGCTACTTAAGTTTCTAACCATCGTATCCAAGTTCTTTCGCCCTTCAGGACTATTCTTAGCATCCTGCCCTTCTTCAAATGAGACTACTGCTCTGTAAAGCAACGATTCGTATGAATTACTGAAACAAATAGGCTTGTCTGAGCTTGCTATCAAGAATTTATATAAATCCAATTCCTCGTAATAACTGACCAACCATGGAAGTTCCATTTTGAAAACTTTAGTAGGTTGTTCTCTCCTGATTAAAATTTTTTCAATGACCTTTACTATCGGGTGATCTATATTTGTAATTGCTCTAGTGAGATAATTTCTACACAAAAATTGGAATCGAGTTTGTAATGGTGCAATTTCCGTTTCAGCTAGAATCATATTCCTTGGGGTAGATTTTATGTATCCCATTGCCAGTCGTAATCCCTTATACTGAATTACATTCAGTTTGTTTATCTGACTCTTATTTAGTGCATGAAACATAAAAGCACCATATTCTATTCTAGATCTCACAAAAGCTATATACAATCGTATAAGAATAAGTGGATCCGCTCCTAACCAAGTCGATCTAATATAACTCAAAATCGCCAACGGGTTTATACATTTCTTTCTTATTGCTTCGATCTGTTGTTCCCAGTTAAGTGCTGAATTAAGAAATATTCCCAAGAACTTGACTGTGTTTACCGATTCTATTTCTTCATTCGAGATATTGATTGACCATCTTCTAGATCTGATCTTTGTTTTATTACTAAAAACTATCAGTTTACATTTTTCTGGTGCTAATTCTAATCCACTTGAATCCAAAAAGGTATTAATACTTTGTGTGGCTTCTTCAATACTCTGTAAACAAGTTGTAGGATCAGGTCCAGTCGCGTATACCGCGACATCGTCCGCAAATTGAATCATCTTACATTCCTGATTGATTACCCTATCCATCGAAGACATGTATAAGTTATACAAAGTTGGACTAAGAACGCTGCCTTGAGGTAAACCTCGACACACTGTCCTTTGACAGTCAATTGACCCATATCGAAATGTCAGAGACCTTTCCGAGACCAAATTATATATAAACCTAAGTACCTTGCTGGGCAAGTTAAGTTTTTTTAGTCGTTCAATTAAAATTTCTGCAATCACGTTGTCGTATGCACTTTGTATG